TTTCCTAGAAATTTGCCTGAAAGTGCAAACCTGAGAGTAATATTTTTAAATGCATAAAATAAAACACAAGATTGCCAATGAAATTAATGATTTTTGGAAATACAGGTATCAAATATAAGCAAATTGGGCTTCAGTAATGCATTAAGCGACAAGATCTGACAGCATGTTTAATAACCACCATACTTTCGAAGTAGAGATGAGCAATCTCAAGGATTATGAAGAGGGAGGAAAGTATCCGGGGGCACGATGAGAAAGTCATAGGTGGTGTTAATAAACCGTGGTCTCTTGCCCACATTCATAATTGTAGACAATGCTACATTTCAATGAGCATTTAGTGACAATAAAGACATAACTTTTTTTCCCACTCAGGTTCACAGACCCCAGGTTCACGGAGCTTAGGGACCTCTTGATGTTTTGGACCCGAAGTTAAGAACCTCTGGTAGTAGGGACGGATGCTCTGTGACATGTTGTGACAATATAGCCTGGGGGGAGCAAGGCTGTGAAGAGTCAGCTTTGGGTTTGCGTGTCCATCTACCCCAGCTAATATTACAATCTGGGCAAGCTCAGCATCTTCACCTGTAAAGAGGACATAGTGATGGTGACCATCTCATAGTGTTGTCACGTGAAGAGCTAAACACACACACATAGAACACCCAGCACAATGTCTGGCATGCAGAAAAACTGGGGTTACATTACGAGTTTTGGACATCCCTGTGGGCAGTTCTCAGAAATAGCCATTCACGTATTTTGACTTTTTAAAAAAAAATTATGATTGACTTTAGCCAAAGTACAAATTTAAAAACTTGTTCCTGTGTTAAGGTTATACAGTCTACTTAAAAATCTTCCTCTACGTCAAGCAAATCTGAAAGATCACCTTTAAAAGGCTTTCGAATATCACTCAGTCTCATTTACACACTTAAGTACTTTCAAATATTTTAAACTGCACTTATAAACACAATCGATTAGGGGTGCCTGGGTGGCTCGGTTAAGTGTCCAACTCTTGATTTCGGCTCTGGTCATGATCTCAGGGTTGTAAGATCAAGACCCGCATCTAGTTCCCCCACTCAGCATGGAGTCTGCTTGAGATTCCCTCTCCCTCTCCCTCTGCTTATCCGCCCATCTTGCGTGCTCTCAATTTCTGAAGAAAAAGGAATAAATAAATAAATAAATACAATCCATTAGATTTCCTTTTTAAACACTCACTTGTCCACTTTGCCACTCCAGAGTGTGGTCCCTGGAACCTTGGCTTTATGGAGGCACTTGTTAGAAATGCAATCTAGCCCCACCCAAGACCTACTGCATAAAACCTGCCTGTCTACAGGGTGCTCAGTGATTATTGTGCATGTTAAAGATATGCGAAGCCCTGCCACTCCAGACCTACTGAGGCATAATCTGCGTTTCACAAGGTCCCCATCAAGTATTGTGCGTGATAAAGAAGTAAATTCTGACTAGCTGAGCTTTCCAAAATAATTTATCAACTTTTTATAAATACTGTATGTAAAACTTGTGTTCTCTTAAATGTTCCAACAATCTACATAAATTTAATACATTTCACTTTCTACTCCTGTAAATCGATTACTCAAATATACATTTTGATTGGCATTAGAAGGCTGTTCTGTTAATCCAATGGTACAAATTTTCTTGAATCCACAAAATATCAGTTATGCCCAAATTCCTTCTTACCCTTGTAATATTAAATGCTATAATTTTGAATTATCTCCAACTTTTTCATACTTAATTTTAATAATTTCTGGATTTTGAGAAATGCTTAATAAACTAAACTAACAAACCAAATAAACTTATATCATTCCACATAATTTTAGTTCACTGCTTAAACCTATTAAATATTTAAAGAACTAATCCCAATCAGATAATAGAGGAAGGACCACTTGCCAGCTCATTCTATGAGGCCACTGATACAGATATCCAAAGAAAGGAGACCTACAGGCTATTGTTCTTTATGAACTCATATGCAAAAATCCTAAACAAAACAGTAGCAAACTGAATTCATTAATAAATAAAAGTATTATGGGCAATAAACAAGTGGGATTTGTTTTACATGATTTTGGAGGCTATCTTCCCATGTCATATTTTTAAAAGATTTTATCTATTGAGAGAGAGAGCAAGTGCACGAGTTGGGGGAGGGGCCCAGGCAGAGGGAGAAGCGGACTCCCTGCTGAGCAGGGAGGCTGTCACCGGGTTCATCCCAGGACCCTGAGATCATGACCCCAAGATCATAACCTAAGCAGAAGGCAGATGCTTAACCGATTGAGCTACCCAGGCACCCTTTCATTTTTGGTACTACTCTACCCTTAGACAATACAATGTTAGATTGGATGCCAGATATCTCAGGAATTTTTCTGTTGGGAGTTAGAACCTTTACATGAAGTCCTTGTACTGTAAGGTGAATTTTATTGTTATTATTAGTGCAATGAGAAGTACAGCGGGACCTTTAAAGGAGTCTAGGTTGGTGAGGGAGATTCAAGGAGTCACGCTGACTCTTACAGGGGTATGATTTCGTGCCTGAGAAAAGAGCAGGTATGACAGAACATTCCAGAAGGAGAGGGAATGGATGGTGTGAAGTGAGCTTCTGTCCCTGTTCTAAGAGAGAGTGGTCAAGAAGCTAAGAGGAGCGGTAGCATCCCCAGGGGCAAAGGAAGAAGCTCAAGGCAAGGATGCTTTTCCCTTAAGACAGCGTAGGTAAAAATAAATATAAAGCTCTCCCCCCTTACCCCCATACTATACCCCAGGGGCAGATGCTTCACAAGTTTAGGGTTTATTTTTCCCCCCTTTTGGGAGAATAATTTTTAAATAACCATACTATAGAATAATTATATCTTAGTTTGATATTTATTTATTAAAAACTTTTTTAAAAAATATTTTATTTTTAAGTAATCTCTACACCTAATGTGGGGCTTGAACTCACAACAGAGATCAAGTCACATGCTCTTCCCACTGAGCCAGCCAGGCGCCCCTTACTTTGTTTTTTTAATTACAAACTCAAGATCAGATTAGGTACTCAGATTAGGGTCCCTTTTACTATTTTGGAATAAGCGGCACATCTGCCTGCGATTTGACAAGGGTTCTAAAAATTTCGTTGGCCCAACTCATTATGGTTACTTTCATTGCTCTCTCTGATAACTTTCATTTCCTTCCCTGAAATTTCAAGAACTTCCTGTGGGGCAAAGATAGTGAGAGCAAGTGGGATGGGCGAAGGCCCTTAACCATTTGCAGACGTTTGTGTTCAATGAGCATTGGGATGTATCTTTCTGGTCAGCCACACCGAGTATGAGTTCACTGAGAAGAGTTGGAGGCCACAGACAACCACAAGAAAGTGAAGGTGATTCCTGCCTCTGTGAAGCTAGCAAGCCAGTTTGAAGCTAAAAAGCATGAGGCACATAATGTAACATGTGACCCGAAATAAATAGCTACAGTTTACTGAGCAAGTAGGGGACATAAATTTGGGTTTATTTCTGTTTCAGCACACTTTATTTTTTTTAAGTTTTTATTTTAATTCCAGGTAGTTAACATACAGTGTTATATTAGTTTCAGGAGCACAATAGAGTGATTCAACAAGTTGGGGTATATAAATTTTGTGCAAACACACATGCACACAATTTAATTCTCATAAAAGACTGGGAGAGGACAAGGTTAAATCTTTTTCTTCTCTTTTAACCTATAAAAAAAACCCCTGTGGGGGCGCCTGGGTGGCTCAGTTGATTAAGCGACAGCCTTCGGCTCAGGTCATGATCCTGGAGTCCCGGGATCGAGTCCCACGTCGGGCTCCCTGCTCAGCGGGGAGTCTGCTTCTCCCTCTGACCCTCTTCCCTCTCGTGCTCTCTATCTCTCATTCTCTCTCTCTCATAGATGCAGTAAATAAAAAAAAAATCTTAAAAAAAAAACAACCCTGTGGTTTAAAGAAATAAAGTGACTCCCCAAGGTCACCCAGCTAAAAAGCTGTGGGGTCAGATTTTGAACCCAGGCAGAGAGAGGTTTCTGGACTTACGCACTTTTAGTTAAGATTGCAGTAAGTTTTAATGACTGAGCGATTTATATTTAACTTTAAGGCCACCATGGGCAAGTCATTTCCTTAATGTGATCCTCATTTGCCTAATCTGCAAAGTGGCTCCCTCTTCAGTGGGACTGAGAAGGCACAGGGCAAGCATTTAAGCACATCCATAATGTATAATGAAGGCTCCTCCCGGTCGAGTCAACAAGTGAATGAAAAATAAACTGACATGACAGGTAACCCTCGGAGGGGACTCAGGTCCTTCAAACTCCAGGATCTGCGCTGACTATACACTTCATTGCTTTTATTCTAACAAACACACCCCTGAAATCCAAAGGGGGAGACAGAAACTGCCTCCTCCCCATTGTGGCCAAATAGATTTACCTGCCCACACACTTTTCCTTAATCCTATCTGAGTTCCCCACGCTTTATTCTTTGGCATGCCAGAGGTCTGACTCAGCGATTGATGGGCACAAGGGGCTTGAAATTAGAGAAAGAAACAAAATCTCCCAGGGAGCCGCCTTTTCCCTCGGGTGAGGCGGTCATACGCCAAGTCTCCTCCCTATGGGGGGACCTCGGTGTCCCACATGACGCTGCGCATTCCCCCTTCTTCCGCGACCCCCCGCCAATTCGGTCACCACGACGAGCCAAGGCTTGTAAGCGGGAGGGAGGAGGAGGCTTGTTAAAAATGTCCCGCTGGCAGATTTCGGAGCCACTGGTCTGTGCCTACCCCGCCCGGCCCCCCCAGACCCCTCTCCCCTCTCCACCACTGCCCTGGCGCGGTGAGCTGGAGCCGGGAAGGGCGGGCCGAGCGCGGCTGCAGGATCCAGCGGCCTAGGGCGCAGCCTGCGCGCCCCACGGCCGCGAAAAGTCACTCCCAAGAGGGCCCACGCCCCCACGCCCCGCCCCCACGCCCCGCCCCGCGCCCACCACGCCCCCGGCACCCCCCCACGCCCCGACACCCCCTTCTCCCCGCCCTTCCAGCGCCCGGCGCCCGCGCTGCAGGAAGGAGCTGCGAGCTGTAGCGGCGCCTGCCTCCGCGCGCCGAGCCGCACCATGCCCCGCATAGATGCAGACCTCAAGCTGGACTTTAAGGATGTCCTGCTCCGACCCAAGCGAAGCAGCCTCAGGAGCCGAGCCGAGGTGGGGCCCTCCGAAAGCCGCAGTGGGGTGGGATTTGTTTTCCGGGTGGCTCGGGAGAGGACGGTGGAAGGAGGTGGGAGGTGATAACCTTGCCGGTTCTTCCGTGTGTCTGTTGAGGGATGGGATGCTGACCCCCCACCCCCACCCCGGCCTCCCCACCTGCTGAGAAAGTGGGAAGCCAGCTGGTTCCGTGCCAGGATTTGAGGTATCTTTAAGGGACCCAGCTCCGGTGTAAAATTCTAAATACGTCCGGTCGGTGGGCAGGGGGGGAGGTACACAGCGGACTAGACCACAGAGGAACAAAGATCAAGTGGCCCACTGACTTAGAAACAACGGGGGGTGGCTGGAGGGGTGCATAGAGGGAGGAATTGCCCCCCTGGAGCCCAGGTGTAAAGGGAGAGGACAAACAACTGGAGAGCTTTGTGATTTTGGCACTGTCTCTCGGTGCGGAGAACTGCTGCTCGCTGCTCTAGTATCAGCTCCAGCAATGAATTTTTTTTTTTTTTTAATGTCTGAAAAAACAGGCAAACTCCAGGGCGGCAAAAGTTCAGGGTTTACTTCCCACGTTTCAGTGACCTTGCTGGGAGTGAGGCTGAGGACTCGTGCCTGGTGGCACCCGGCTTTCTGGACAGCTGCAGTCCGGCCCAGTTCTAGGGAAGCAGAAAGCGCTGGCGTAGGGGCGTGTGGGGGTGGGAGGCAAATAGAGACACCCTGGGCAGTTTTGCTGGTTCGGTGTTGATGAGATCAAAGCCTGAGGAACAGGTGGCTACTGGACCGGCAATAGCCCCAGGGGAGAGGGAGTGATGCCCCTGCTGGGGATGAGGAAGGTGAAAGCCTGAAGGATAAACTAGTTGCTCAGAAAAGCAGAGTCCCCCCGCGGAGGAGGGTATGCTGGTGATCACGGCTTTGCCTGGTCTTCTAAGAGCGGGAGAAGGAGGTGAGGAAATGACTCCATCTGGAGGCTGGAGCTGCAGGAGTAAACAGGAGGAAGCCGAGCCAGCACCCTCTTCCAAAGGCTCCGCGCCACAGAATCATAAATAAATCACCTCGCAAGGAACTCGGCGGCGCGCCTGTGCCCAGGCCTGACTGCAGTGCCTGGTGTTGCCAGCCGGGGGCTGGTTTGGATTAAGGAAACGTCCTCTTTTCGCCGGTGACCAGAACAAGTGACCTCAAGCAAGAGGGGCGGCAGCTGGAGCCAGCGAGGTTGGGACCGGACAGGACTGCAAGAGGCCAGGAATGGTTTAACCCTCGTCACTCTAGATCGGACTACCCTCTTCTAGTCCTTCCTCACGTCCTTAAAGGCGCCACAAGAGCAGGGCAGACCCTTGAAAGAAAAACAAAGAGTTTGGGTAGCAGGTAGACTGTACCTAAGGCCAGAACAAGACAAGATGTGGGGATTCTGGGCAGACGAATAGTGGGGTGGTGGCCTGAATATTCTTTCAGTATCTCTGTTCAAAATTCACTTAGGAGAAAGAAACTTGATTTTAAGAAAAATGACATGTTTACAACAAGGATAGATCAGACGTATTTTCTGAGCCGAGCAGCATCTTGAGAAGGTAAAACATTTAGAATTTATGTAATAGAATGAATTATTCTTTTCCAGAGAATGGTATGATGTCATGCATCATTTGGTTTCATACTTCGGGCTGACTGAAACTATTAATGTCCCAGTGTCCAGTGGCACCCTGCAATCTCCATGTACATGTTGCAGTGAGAACTCTGTGCCCTTGAGAAATGTTTTCATATTTCTGTTTTTGTGGGTGCTTACCAGCTCTGTGCCTGGAAGCCAGCGTTAACTGGAATCACCTTTGCAGTTGGTTCCCCTAATGGTGTAGGTGCCTGGCTGGTTGCATCCCATAATCTGCCTTTTGGTGATGTTGGAGGCATCTAGTTGGCCCTAGATCTAAGTAGGCTTCTAATCAGTGTTTTCTCAGTTTGTTGTGGATGCCTGAAATTTCTTATAGGGAGATGATCAAAACTTTTCACTGTGCGATCAGATAGAAGTCTAGGATGTGCGTCACCTGACAGAGGTAATACCTGCATGCAAACTGGAAACTAAAATGGTAAAAAGACAGCCTTTGAGCTTAACCAGTGAGCGGAGTTGCATGGAGCCAGGGGAGAGAAATCATAGCCTGTCAGAGCAGACCTGGCTGGGAAGGGAGTTTTCACTCTTGACAAGATTTATCACTGTAACAGTTTTGCTGAGAGGTAGGTCTGCCCTTGGATCATCAGGCAGTGAGCAGGAAATGGAGAGAAAGGCAGAGTGGTTTCCCACTTAGACGTTCTAGGACTCCTGTAGGGGCGTTTCTGCAAGCGTCCTATAAAATGAATTTGAGGTCAGCTCCCTTATTGTGATTGTGCCGGATAGGAGGTCATCTCTCCACTGTCCATACAAGTCCCTGGCACATAAGAATGAAGTCCCACAGGGCTGCATGGGAGCCTTTGGGTAATCTTTTCAAAAGAAGTCGCATGTTTGTTGACTGAAGCAAGAACTTTGTCTTTATCTGACACACTGGGGAGGTCGAGTCATTCCTTGACTCCCTGATCCGTTCTTCTTGAGAACGCATTCCTGCCTCTGGTGTCCCACTGGAGCCCTTAACCTAAGGTAAGATTAAAAAAAAAACAAAACAAAAAACTTAAGTAACACAGCCATAACTTTGGAAGTCCAACAATGAAGAAACTTGCAGCCGAAAATTGGCCGCTTGTCCTAGGACAGAGAAGTCTCGACACAATGTTAAAACTCACTAGTTATTTATTTATTTTTTTTTACCAGCAGATCCAGGGAAGGCGGATGGAGCCTGGGGGTCCACAGCAGGTTGGCCCACAGGGGATCAGAGCATGGCAGTGAAGAGAATATAGGGCTGGGAGCAAGCTGACCTGGGTTTTAGTCCAACCTCTGCTCTATTTTAGTACCTTGGCTCTGTGTTAGTTTCATGGGGCCACTGTAACAAAATTCCACAAACTTGTACAAGAGAAATTTATTGTCTCACAGTGCAGGAGGCTAGGAGCTCCAGATCAAAGTGTCCCACAGGCTAGATCCTTCTGAGTGCTGTGAGGGAGAATCTGTTACATTTCTCTCTCCTACCTTCTGGTTGTTTACCCACAGTCTTGGGTGTTCCTTGCTCTGTAGAGGCCTCGTTCCCCATCTCTGCCTTCATCTTTATACCATGCTCTCCCATTCTGTCCACATTTTCCCATTTTGCAAACACCAGTCATACTGGGATGGACCTGATCTTGTCTTACCTTGATCATCAGCAAAGGCCCTATTATAATTCACAGGTACCGCTGGTTGGCATTTTGGCATCTTTTTGGAAGACACATTGCAAACCGTAACAGCCTCCGTAAATTTTGCTCTGTAAAATTAGAGGGTTTGAGTAGAATTGTTCTTAACGAATCACTTAGGGAGACACTCCAAAATACACACATTGTCTCCAACACAAAGGTTCTCACTAAGTTGGGAGCAGCATGAGCATGTGTATTTTGGAAACCATCCTACAATGATTCTGATGTGCACACAGATGCTCTGGGCTTGCTGCTGGAGTCCTTTCTGTTTGTGGATCTGCACAAGCTTCTCCAGATCCTGCCCACTGGTGGTGAAGCCTGCAGGGGACAGAACATTCAGAAAGCTGGGCTGGGGCCCACCAAGCATTGCCTAGAAAGTACAATATCATTCTTACCTCTTGGTCAGATATTAATTTCTTCCACACTTTTGAGCCACTAGGACTATAAAAATAAGAGGGATTCTCCCTGTAGACTTGCCTTTTACAGGAAAGACAGATAGTAATTTATTTAATAAGAGAATTGCTGCAATCAGTACCACCTATAGATCTAGGCAAAAGGGGCCCCCAGCCCACACCACCCTTCTGCTCCCCTGTACCCTCTTCCTCACTGGACAGGGCCGGTGGGCCAGGCTTATCCTGTAGGTCATGTTCCAGATACTCAGGATCCTGGATTTCCTTGCCCAGATGACTTCAGGCTAGTTTCAGGGCAGGCAAGGGCTCCTTTCCAAGGTGTGTTTTCCCAAGGACCTGCCGTGCTGCTGGTGTGCCCACCCCCAACCTCAGAGAGTGGTCCAGCAGCAGCTGTGCGTGAGCGTGGATGTGTGTGTGCATGGAGCTTAGTGTGCAGACTGGGGTGTCTGTGTGTGCACGTCAGGATTTGTATGGGACGAGGAGAGGGTGTGGACTGGAGGCCAGGGACTGGCTCCCCATGACACCATGTACTGGTACTTTCCAGGGGATTAATGAAATTGTGTTTGTCAAGGTGGGAAGATAGAACACGATGTAGAAGGCTTGTGCTTCTGGGTAGGCCTGTTGGCTCGATCGTAACATTGAGGTCTTTAGAAATGGGGTAGGTGGATCCCCATTTTGTTTTTGGCCCCCTAGTGTTGGGCTGTAGGACTGACTTTAATGAAGGTGTGTTTAAAGGGCAGCAGAAACATGTGTTTTTGAGGTGGGGGAGGGCTAGTTTATGACTCTGTGTTCCCTTGGAGGTGCTATATTTGGTGCATTGACCAGCTGTGGCAGATTAAATGCCAAGTTTTGTTCCTGGGAGGCTGGAATATTTAAAACATCTCTCTCAGTGAACAAGTGGTGTGTTTTTTGAGGGGGGTGTGTGTGTCTTTTTGTCTGTATGGATAAGATCGGGGAAGATAATTAAAAAAATTTTTTTAATTTATTTTTTAAAATATATAGTGTTCTATATTGTATAGTGAACATACAGTGTAATATTAGTTTCAGGTGTACAATATAGTAATTCAGCAAGTCCGTACGTCACCTGGTGCTTCCCACAGCAAGTGCCCTCCTTACTTCCCATCACCTGTTTCACACATCCCGCACCCCCTCCCTCTGGGAAACCTGAATGTGTTCTTTATAGTTCAGAGTCTGTTTCTTGGGTAGTCTCTCTTTCTCTTTTTCCTTTGTTGATTTGTTTTGTTTCTTAAGTTCCACATATGAGTGAAATCTTACGGTGTCTGTCTTTCCCTGATTTATTCCCCTTAGCATTATATTCTCTAGCTCCATCCATGTTGTTGCAAATGGCAAGATTTCATTCTTTTTTATAGCCAAGTAATATTCCACAGTGTATATCTATCACATCTTTTCTATCCATTCATTAGTTGGTGGACACTTGGGCTGTTTCCATAATTTGTCTATTGTGACTAATTCTGCTATAACATAGAGGTGCATGTATCCCTTTGAATTAATGTCTTTGTATTTTGGGGGGTAAATACCCAGTAGTGCAATTGCTGGATCATAGGGTAGTTCTATTTTTAAGTTTTTGCAGAACCTCCTTACTATTTTCGAGTGGTTGTACCAGTTTGCCTTCTCATCAACAGTGCAGGAGGGTTCCTTTTTCCTCAAATCCTTGCCAACATCTCGTTTCTCATCTTTTTGATTTTAGCCATTCTGATTGGTGTGAGGTAATATCTCGTCGTAGTTTTACTTTGCTTTTTCCTTATAATGAGTGATGTTGAGCATCTTTTCATGTGTCTGTTGGTCATCTCTATGTCTTCTTTGGAGAAAAGTCTACTTAGGTGCTCTGCCCATTTTTAATTGGATTATTCCTTTTTGTGGTGTTGAGTTTGATAAGTTCTTCATATATTTTGGATGCTAACTCTTTATCGGATATATAATTTGCAAATATCTTCTCCCATTCCATAAGTTGCCTTATTGTTTTGTTGATTATTTCCTTTGCTGTGCAGAAGCTTTTTATTTTTAAAAAAATTTTTAAAGATTTTATTTTTTTATTAGAGAGAGAGAGAGACAGAGACAGAGCACAAGCCGGGAGAGGGGCAGAGGGAGAGGGAGAAGCAGGCTCCCCGCTGAGCAGGGAGTCAGACATGGGGCTCCATCCCGGGACCCCGGGATCATGACCTGAGCTGAAGGCAGATGCTTAACCGACTGAGCCACATAGGCAACCCAAAACTTCTTATTTTTATGTAGTCTCGATAGTTTATTCTTACTTGGGGAAGATAATTTTATTTCTCCTTCTTAGAATTAAGGATAGCGTGGAATCTACCACATGAAGACTAGAAATAAGGGCAGGAGTTCACTATCAAGGCTGACCTTTTTCCATGAAGAGCTCTGTTTTTTCCATACTGTGGGTAGGGTCTTGGGGTGCCCAGAAGAACCCCCTGTGAGCTCAGCTGGGTGTAGAGTATAGCAGCCCTCCCCATTATTCTTGGGAGGAGTATGAGTCATTTGAGACCTAGGGATTCTGATTATTTTAAGCCATTAAAGCCAGAATGTTAGAGTGCCCTCAGGAGCACAGAAAGTTGCAACTGATAGACTCCTTCAGTTAGCTCTCAGAATGTAAATCGAACTTGCTTCACTGAAGTAGAGCCAGGAATCATAATGAAGGAAGCAGAGAAGGGAATGAGTGAGCTGCCCCACCTGCTCGTGCAGTGACTGCATCTCATTTCCCCTCATCTTCGCTTTCAAGGCCAGAGCTGACATACCTATGACGTCATTCACCCGGGAATCCTCCTGGACATGGAGTTGTGTAGAGAACAAGGGAGATGTGTGGAAAGGCTAAATGGCCCGAGGTGTCCCTTGGTGTTTTTTGACATGTGATTGCAAAGGGAAAGTTGTCTCAAATGAAAAGGGATAGGGGAAGGGTAGGTAAACACTGGTAGGAAATGATAATTGCCGATGTACTCATGAAGCCACGATTAATGTAGGTCGGAATTATTTCAGAGGCTCAAGATGCATGCCTCTGTCTCCCACTGGTGTCCTTTGGGGAGGCACCCACTTCCAGGATGGTCTTGTGCCTGTCAAGGTCCACCTCAAACAGTGCTGAACGTGTAAAACGGAATTTAATGCAGGGTCTCCGAACTCCACTGACATGCCCGATGAGATATTGGGGCACCCCAGAGATTGGCAAAAGTGGAAAACCACTTCCAGAGGGGAGGAGGTGATGTTACTGGAGCCCAGGTCCTGCGATCACTCTGTGAAAGCTGGAACCAAGACCATGCAGGCCAAGGCAGAGGGTTCTGGGAGACATGCCCTGACTACATACAGGCCCTCCTCCCTTGTCCCGCACTATCCTTTAGTTTCCTACCCAGTTTCTTCATTGGCTGAACCCAGCCAGAAACCAACCTGGGCAGTGGAGCCTTGATGTGGCGTGGGGTGGGGGAAGGGTGGCCTTCCTCTGGTAAGAGGGGGTGAGGAAAAGGGTGTAAAATGGATCCAAGAGCCTGTAAGCCTTGGATCTGCTTGGGTCAAAGAAGTGGTTCTGACTCTGCTAGCTCTTGGTGAGCGTGGGGCCCTAGCGCACGGCTTTTGCTCAGCCCCTCATCTTGGCTTAACTCTAGTTCTGGATTCCTGATAGCTGGCTTAGCCACAAATGCCCTGAAGTTGGAGTTACATTAGAATGGGAGGGCGCTCCCTCCACCATTTGCATGTCAAAGGAGCAAGTGTTGATATATGGAGACGTATGGTTGCAAGTACTTCCTCTCAGCTCTCTGAAAGATGCTCAGAATCACAAAGCCGCTGGGAAGGTTGACAGGTTAAGGGATTAATGGTTTGCAGCTCACTGCAGGGTGAAAATCTGGAGTGTCTGGTTCTCTCTGAGAGTAAGAATGAAAGGGAAAACCATGCTTCCAGGGAAGAGTGGAGTGAATTTTTCCAGAAGGGGAATGGTCCCTCTGGTGCTTGGAAGTGGGGAAGATAGCATGTATGTGGGTATTTAGGGTCAGGATGGATCAGGCTGGGGACAGAAGGTGGCTGTGGGTGGGGAGAGGCTACCGAAGAAGACAAGCTTCTGGTCCCGAGGTTTGGTTTGATGGCAGGACGTCCAGTGCCTTGTACTGGCGCTTGAGGATCATAACGAGGCCGGTTCAGCTTTGTCCCTGGATGACAACCTGTCACTTGGTCTCCCGAGGAACTCTCCTGTCTTTGGAATACCTGGCTCAGCTCCTAAGAGACCAAGGGACCAGGGATCTGCGCTTCCTTTTTGTTCTTCCCTTGCTCCAAACTCTCGAAATTCTTCACAAACCACTTAAAGAGCAAAGCACTCCTTTTCCCTTTCTGCCAATAGGTGGATCTTGAGCGTACCTTCACGTTTCGAAATTCGAAGCAGACCTACTCAGGGATTCCCATCATCGTGGCCAACATGGACACCGTGGGGACATTCGAGATGGCGGTGGTGATGTCCCAGGTGAGAGGTGGGCTTTGTTCCCTCTGCTGCTCACCCTGGACAGGTTGTCAGGAGCCCATCCTGGACTTGTTCAGACGCAAGGAGGAGGGGAGAAAATTGAAATGCTTTGGGTCATTCACTGTGGCCAGACTGTTTAGTTCTGAGTCTGATGGATGCTGGGGGCAATTCTTGTCTTCCCCTTGCAGTCAGAAGATCGATGGAGTGTGGACTTCGCATTCCATGAAATGGTCTAGATCTGCATCCCCTTCTTCCTTGAAAATGCTCGTGCTAGTTTGAGAAACTAGAGATCTTATGAAGTTAGACTGGTGTCATATTATAGAAGAGCGGCCTTGCCTTTGAAATTAAGGCAGAACTGCTTCATATGCAGTCTATGCAGTAACATTTATTACAAAACATTTGTTGAGCACTTAGGTGACAAAACGGTGGATAGAATGTGTGTAATGTTGGCACAGCCCCTCCGGGTGGGTTCCTTTTACAGAACTGAGGCAGAGAGGGAGAGGAGAGGTCCCTTGGCTCAGGGCATTCAGTCCAGTAGATTCAAGATTCAAACCCCGACTGACTCCAGAATAAGGGATTTGCCTCCCCACGCACACTGACAGCTAACAGTAGAAGCTCAAGGTCCCTTCTGGCCAATTTACCAGTCTCATTCCCTATAAAGTGAGTAGCTGGTATCGTGGCATTGGGAGAAATAAAGAAAAAGCCGTTTGTGGGCAGGACCTCTGTCCCACGCGGCTGGGTCTGAGGTGCAATGCACCTTAATTCATCCCAGATGTGAAATGTTTGCTTCTGATGTGCACAGAGTGTGTGTGTCTTTTTCCATCGATAATGCCTGCCGAGTGGAAAGAGAAATCCAATTAGTTGAAAGAGCTTCTCGCTGTGGGCAGCAAGTCAAACCTCAGGAGGTGCAAGGATTCATTATTAGCCAGTGATTAGAAGAAAGATTTTCAAACTGATGATGAATTTGAAAAATGGAGTAGGGGGTGGTCTGTCTGGCTCCATGATCAGTTGTAGTCTCTGTCAGCCCACAGCCCCCACTGAGCTTCGGCCCGGAGGCTAATAAATTAATTGCTGAAGAAATTTGTATTTTTTTTTCTCCTTGTCTTTCCCTTGCTCTGCTCTGTGATCAGCCATTGCTACTAATGAATTATGTATTAGTGTGAAAGTGGGTGGAATCGGAGTGAATCAGTAGTCCAGATTAACTCCCATATCGAGTTGTGAGTCCATAAAAAATGTAGAACTTTCACAGGAAGGACTCCCCGTCATCTGAGACGGTGTCCATTGAAAACACAGTAAAGTAGCGTACCCTGAAACCGCGCGCGTGTGTGTTGTGTGTGTGTATTATGAATTTTCTGCTTCTAGGTTCCACTGATTTAGTGCGAGTTCATAAAGGCATGGAATTTTGGAGTGGGAAAGTGTAGATAGGAAAACAGACCCAGTGAAGTTAGGAGAGGGGTTAGGAACCTGGGCTCTGTAGTCAGATTTGAGTTTGATTCTGGCCTTTGCCCCTTTGTGGCCAAGCTGTTGTTAAATTGCTTAAGCTCCGTTTCTGTCCACAAAGCTAGTATGACTGTACAAAGTTGCTCGGAGAAGTAAACGAAATGGCATACGAGGTGCTTGTGCAAAAGTGTCAATGTTGGATTGGGTTGGTAGTCATGGATGTGGGATTACGATTTGTCGAATTCCTTCCCTCCAGAATCCCAACTGCCTGTTGGGTTTAGCTTTTAACAAGACATGTTTAGACTGAACACAAAGCAAAGCTTTCAGGTATGAGTTGAGGTTCTTCTGGGTTGGCCATCAGCAGTTGGCCCTCGGGTGCTCATCGGGGCAGGACACCTGCTGCCCAACGCCCTGGGCCTGACTCAGCCAGTGGGGCCGGGACAAGGCCCTGAGAACCCTTCTTCTTCCCTCCCTGGCCTCCCGGCAGAGCCTCCTGAGTCCCGGATGCAGGGTTGTCTGATCAGATTAGAATGGAAAACACGGTTGTGTGACTTTACCGGTGACACATTCGTCTGTTCTTGGCCCTCAGCATATTTAAAGCAAGTGAAGCATGAACTGGAAGGAACACCCCATTCTTTTGTGTTGTCAGGTCCCCCCTGGCCCATGCAGGGAAGGGAGTGGGCTCGCTTGACTTCCTGTCCTAACAGTGCTGTTTTGTCCCCTAGCACTCCATGTTCACGGCAATTCATAAGCACTACACCTTGGACGAGTGGAAGCTCTTTGCGGCTCATCACCCAGAATGTCTGCAGGTATGACTACACTCCAGTTATAAGTTACATTTCTTGCAGGGGGGCGGGGGAGAGACACTTCAGGGTGGCTGGCCAGGATTTGAATTGGAAGCGGACAGACCAGCAGAGTCCCTAGAGAGAGTCCCGTGGAAAGGTAGTAGTGGGCCCTGCCCTTCATCATTGCCAGGGAAACCTGCCCTGGATCGAATTTTGGAAAATACTCGCATCTCTCTACCAGGAATATCTGGGGCTTTTTTTCCTTGAAAAATTTGGTGTTACAGAGCCTGTGGAAGACCTACGTTTCCTGCAAGGGATGCATCCAGTCTGAACAGTCCTCTGACGGAGGAAAAACATCGAATTATAACAGGTTGTTTTGAAGTTGAATAAACACTATGCCCACTAGGAAGGCTGTAATCCAAAAGACAGATGCTAACGAGCATTGGCATGGATGTGAAGAGATTGGACCCCTCCCGCATTGCTGGGGGGTATGTAAATAGTGCACCTGCTTTGGCACTCCGTTTGGCTGTTACTCAGAACGTCAGAGAGCAGAGCTACAACTCGACCCAGCGATTGCATTTCTAGGTGTAGACCTCGCAGGCAGAAAAGTAGGTGTCCACACAGAAACGTTACACAAATGTTCATAGCAGTGTTATTCATGACAGCGGAAAGGTAGAAAGCACCTGAGTGTCCATGAGCTGATGAACGAATAAACAAAAGCTGGTATGTCCATATGACAGAATACTATTCAACCATAAAAAGGGATGAAGCCTTGATTCATGCTACAACACGGATGATGAATCTTGAAAACATTTTGCCGAGTGAAAAAGCCAGATGTGAAAATATGTTTCTGTTTACATGAAATGTCAAAAATAGGCCAACCGACAGAGACAAAGTAGATGAGAGGTTGCCTAAGGCTGGGGGGCGGGATTTGAGGGTGAGGGCTAAAGCGTGTGGGAGGGACAAATGTTTTAAAATTGTGATGGCAGTTTCACAACGCTGAATATACGAAAAACTATTGAATTGTGCTCTCCAAATGGGTGAAGCGTGTGGTATGTAATTACATCTCAGTAAAGCTGTTATTAAAAAAAAAAAAAGAAGGCAGTTTGAAAATAACAAAAACTCTTATTATTATGTAACGCACCTGACTTGCCACCTGGCACATTTGGGTGGTTCTGTGCCAGTGCCTGCAGAGAAGTTTCTTTGCGTTGGAGACGCTCTTCTCTGTGATCAGATCATTGGTGATTGGAAAACGACTTCATCTTACACTCTTTTGAAGTTATACTGGCTTCTTTTTTTTCCCTTGGCTGTGCTCTATGTGGACTTTGATTAGCGGAAAGGTTGTTTTTGGAGATACAGTAATCCTGGCTCAATATCGAGTCCTTCATTTTTCCATTTCGTGTCTGAATGAATATTAATTGCTTCGCTGTCTTTCCTTCCTGGAAGTTTGGAGAGCGATGATTTTTTTTGGAGGGGGTCATACCTCTGATTCCTGTGCAGGGGTTTTTGGCAACGTGTTGTTAATTAGAACCTGGTCCTTCGTTACCAAGCATGATCATTTGACTTGCTACTCTGCCCCCGACCAAATTAGAGGCTAATTAAAAAGGGGAAAATGTCCAAAACTTGGTAACACTGAAAGAAATGAACCAATCTTGAGTTCCACTTGCCAAACTTTAACAGAAATGAAAGGGAAACAGAAAAGGTAGCAAAGCTCTAGTGGGAGGGATGGATTGGACCAGCCCTGGGCAGACTGGCAGCATGAGGAGTGAAAACTGATCCGAACACAGAAAACTGGAGTAAACGTGTCAAGTTACCAGGCTGTTTACACAGAGTATCTGTGTTGTTAATACATTGTTGTGATTTTGGGGGAATCACAAAGGGTATACAGATATGCCCCCCCCCCCCGTTGGTGGCATGTGGCTTAGTGAAGTGTCACAAAATACAAATACTCTTACAGAAGGTGAGATGCTGACCCTGGGCACAAAATCACGACTTAGTTGCACGAAGGCATCCATGACTAAAAACAAATCTTATCCTAGAGAGCAGATTTTCCCAGGAGCAGAGGGGTGGGCTGGAGACGGCCGGTGCTGTGGAGATTGGGGAAGAGGGTATCACCAAGGAGGGTGTGGTGGCTTCAGATGTCCACACAGGTGCCGCTGGGAAAGAGCATCACAGGCTTGTCCGGTCTTGCACCTTCTGGCCGTGTTGCCCTTTTCATAGGAACCCTGAGTCTTGCAGTTTTTTGAGTGGGTTATGATTTGCATGTTGTGATGGTACTGTATTGAGAGTCAAAATGAAAGCAGGAAGTTTTATCAGAAGAGTGTAGACATCTTCCCCACCCTCCTGTTCCGTGTGCCAGCCATGAGGGTGACAGCCAGGGTGTTGGTGGGAGGACCTCGTTCCTCCTGCCTCTCCTCCAAGAAGAGCAGAATTCGCACGAGCAGCTCCACGGTTTCAGAGTTCCACACAGCGTGACGAAATTAAGGAAAGGCCAAGGAGTAGGTTTCCTGAGTAATTAAAAATCTGTTTACTGGAAGATTCTGTGGCCGCGGACGAATCTCCTTTACCTCCGCTGTGGCGTGTTTCTTGAGCAGATCCACCGTGTGTCTCTTTGGTCCGGGTGAACCTCAAACATTCACAGCAGTCTCCCCAGGAGAGCAGAATGGACGGAGGCAGGGTCTGACTTTGGAATGCTCCTGACTCCTCACGTCTTGTGCCTCTCGGTTTATTTTGGTGCAGCACGTAGCTGTGAGTTCGGGCAGTGGGAAGAGCGATCTGGAAAAGATGAGCGACATCTTGGAAGCGGTGCCGCAGGTCAAGTTCATATGCCTGGATGTGGCCAACGGGTATTCAGAACATTTTGTGGAGTTCGTGAAGCTGGTGCGTGCCCGATTTCCGGAACACACCATTATGGTAGGTATGGTGGAACACCGTCCAGATGGGGAAAGCAAAGAGAAGGCTGTTCAGCGTGTTGGGGGGGTTATGTTTGTGCCTTCTTACTGGGACGAGTTGGGATCATTGAGAAAAGAACAGGCAAGCGGCAATGGAGGGTCTGCAAACTGGCTCTCCTTACAAACTAAAATCCAGATCAACATCACAGGGTGTGGGCTTTTGATCTCTGCTAAATGTCATCAGATGTTTTTTATCATGGGACACCTTTGTTGTTTTTGTTTTTGTTTTTTTAAAGATTTTATTTATTTGTCAGAGAGAGAGAGAGAGAGAGCACAAGCAGGGGGAGAAGCAGACTCCCCGCTGAGCGTGGAGCCTGATGCGGGGCTCAATCCCAGCACCCTGGGATCATGACCTGAGCCAAAGGCAGACACTTAACTGACTGAGCCACCCAGGCGTCCCCATGGGACACCTTTGAACAAAGGTCTGTGTCACTCCTTACTATAGAGTTTATATCTAAAAAAATGAAAATAGTGTAACTGGATTTGAGTTTAACTCATTTGGGTCATCTGTACCCCTCTCCTAACTTGCCAGTAGAAAACTCTCCTATAACAGTAGAAATCCCCCATGTGAACAGGAGCTGAACTAGTCCGTTATTATTTGCAGATCAGCTGGAGTATTGTTTGGTCTAGGACCTTTATTCTCGACTTTGCCTGCCTTTTGCATATTTTCCTAATTATGAACACCTTCACTGGTCAGAAAGTCCATTTGCTATTGCCAGGAAAGGCGGGTTTACAGAAAAAGAGATTAGAAGCTCTCCGGTTACATTTGGGCTCTTGGAAAGTGTACGTTGTGATTATGTGTGTCTCTTACTGGTCTTAATTAATGTGACAATTATAGATTGGCCACTAGATAATTTACCTGTGTCTCCGTTTTTGTAAATTTTGAATTTTATTTCTCCTTGTGTTTCGTTGTCGTAAGGAAGTTGGGACACAGGAATTGTTTCTGGAGTGGAGTTAAATCTTCTGTTAAGGATTCATAAGGATTTTAAGATAAGTATTTTTGTGCTTTCCAATCATATGAGAAGAAAGGATCAAGAGTTGTCCAAGAGCAACCAGCCATACAGTGTGAGAAGTTGGATGGGAGACCAAAAAATTCATTTTATCCTCCATAATAGAGCTATAGTGTCATTGTTGTTTTTTTTTTTTTTAAGATTTTATTTATTTGAGAGCTAGAGAGAGAGAGAGAGAGAGAGCACGAGCAGGGGTAGGCATGGAGGGAGAAGCAGGCTTCCCGCTGAGCAGGGAACCTGATGCAGGACTCGATCCCAGGACCCTGGGATCATGACCTGAGCTGAAGGCAGACTCTTAACCGACTGAGCCACCTGGACACCCTGTGTCATTGTTTTTTTGTTTGTTTGTTTGTTTTTTGATAACAGTAATACCGCTTATTGACTACCTACCAGGCTTCAGAAGGCTCACATCTGTTCTTTCTGTTCTGTACAGCATCTTTGTAGAGAATGGGAACCACTGTCCCACATTTATCCCAGATGAGGAATCTTGAGTCTGATCTGTTCTTACACTTGGCGGAGCGTTCACAAAGCCTTTCCAATACTGAACGGCTAAGCGGGGACTTGAAGCCAGGTCATCTGTATCTAGTACCCGGCATCCCGAGCCTCTTCTGCCCCCAGCCACCTGGGGTAACGTCCCTCACACAGGAGGGAACAGAAAGCGGGGCTCCCAGGAGAGCAGAAGCCCCCCGGCCCCTCAGCTGGGACCTGGTCGCTCTAAACAGTGTTTGGTATTCAGTGTAAATTCTGTCAAACAGTGGATGACGCTAGAAAGAGCATGACAAAGAGGTGTTGACCAGGAGATGAGTCCTTTGTTTATTCCTCCTGGAGAGAAGCAGATCGAGCAGGCCCAGGGTTGCTGTTAACAGCCCTTCTTATCTGAGGTGATACAAGTCTAGATCTTTCTAGATCTTTCTAGTGCACCTCTAGTGGGTTAATTGCCCTGGGGATAGAAGTGACTGATAAACTTGGAAGCTGTGCTTTACCTCCATTGGCATTTTTGGGGTGTAAGAGATAGTTTTGAAGGGTTAGGAATCAGAAATGGACACGGATTTTGGGAGGTCACTCAGTGGTTCCACATTCTTTTTCTCTAGTAATTCTTGCATTACATTGTGAAATAGGACATACATACAGAAGAGTGCTTGGAACTTGGATGTTTAATAAATAGTCCTAAGATAAACAGTCTTTCCAGGGCACCTACACTCAGAAGCCCCTCCTCCCACCGAAAATGAAAGCCCCACCTTGACTCTAGCGGTCATTTTCTTCCTTGTGTGTCTCTGGTTTCATCATTGGCTATGCCTTCTTTTTTTTTTTCTTAAGATTTTATTTGTTTATTTTAGAGAGAGTGAGGGACAGTGAACATTAGAGAGAGAGCATGAGCACCAGGGGGAGGAGCGGCAGAGAGGGATGGAGAAGCAGACTCCCAGATGAGCAGGGAGCCGGATGTGGGACTCGATCCCGGGACCCTGAAATTATGACCTGAGCCAAAGGCAGACGCTTAACCAACTGAGCCACCCAGGTGCCCCCGCTAATGCCTTCTCAACAGTATTGAATTGTGCCTGTTTTTGAACCTTGTATAAATGGTAACCCTGCTATGTGTGTCTCTTGTCGTCTTTTGGTCAGTAGCATATTGAGATGAAGCCACAATTAATGTAAGCCATATGGTAGGTATTCCATTGTTCCTAGAACAAGTCTTTATTTTTTTAAGATTTTATTGATTTATTTCGAGGGTGTGAGTGGGGGGAGGGGCAACGGGAGAGAGAATCTCAAGCAGACTCCCTGCTGAGTGTGATGGAGCCTGACTTGGGGCTTGATCCCCCAACCCTGAGAGCATGACCTGAGCCCAAACCAAGAGTCAGATGCCCAACCGACTGCACCACCCAGGCGCCCCAGAAACAAACCGTTAATACTGTTGCCCACCTGCTCAACTTGCCCCTTCCTCTTGCTCTGCTTGGCCACTGGTTGTGACACCATTCGAATCGCTAACTTAGTGCCCCTGAAGTTGGTGTGGCCCCATGAGCCCAGTCACCTTGGGGAAGTCACATAACCTTCTGAATCTCATTTTTCCCACCTGTGAAAGGGAGGTTGAGGATCATAGCGGCTGGAGGATCATGGCGGGGTGGGGGGTCAGATGGTGTGATGTGTTGCGTTCAGTGCGCAATTCACAAACTTTTGTTTGCCGGTTGCGAGGACCATTGAGGACAGAAGCCCTGAACGCGGAGTCAGAGATGGAAGGCTGATGGAGAAGATGAATGGAAAGTGGGTTGGGGAGGGGGGAGTGGTTTATTTGTTTTTGTTTCAAGAAGATGGAGAAAACCTGTACCCCTTCTCTCAAAAAGGATAAGTGATAGCAGAAATCGGCAAGAGCCCCGGAACTTTCTATCCTATGCTCCCGACCATTGGTTGTAATTTTTAGCTCACAGCTGGGCCTGCCAGGAGCTGAGGCAAGCCGCCCGCTGTGGAGCCCAGGGAGCCCGTTGGTGCGCCAACCCTCAGGGATGGAGACCAGGGGCTGGGCAGTGCAGGACAGAGGTAGGCTGCTAGTTCAAGAGAAAGAGCATTGTACAGAGCCTGGGGGTTGCCATGGGGATGAGGCCAGGAGGGAGGGGCTGGCGCAGAGTTCTCACGGCCCTCTGGGCAGCCACCACCAGCAAGTGCCTCTTTCGCATCTGCTGGTTGGCTCTGGGATGTGTTTTCATTGTTCCTGCCGGTTTCCCCAGCAATGAACGGGCGACTTTGGCGCGGTAGATGCGTTATTCCTGGGGCGTTCTTTGCTTGCAATGACCCCTGAAATCTGGGCTTCATTTGGAAACCTCCAGTACTCTTAACACCCTTGGTTTTTGAAAGTCTAATTTCTCTTATGGCTTTTGGATGCATTACCATTTGTCCAATGTTTTGGAACCGAAAGGTATATGTTAGGAAGGCTGAGTGTCATTGTGATGGTTCCGGTGCAGTGAACAGGAGGGCTGCTCAGAAATGCTCGTGAGGCTGGCGGTTCCGGGGGTCTGTCTGCAGCAGGGGCAAGGGCTTGTTGCTCCCCGTTCCCTGTACATCCTGGATTCACGTGCACACCACATTTCCTTGCCTTTCTCCTAAGGCGCACTTTGCTGCAAGGAAGGATGGAAAAAGCAGGGATTTTTAGAAAACTTTGGCAGACGAGGGTCCTGTAGAAGGTGCTGGCTGCTAGAATAGTAAGTCCCAGAGCCATTTGCCTGGTGGCTTTCAGAGAGGAAGGAGAAAGATGTGCTCCAGGTGCTGTAGAAAAAGGTACTAGCCTGAGTGAGGCGCTGCCTGCCCCCGGGGCCTGTGATCTTCCATTACACGGCACCGAAGCCAGCAGCCGCACCAGCTTGCTGGGATATGGATGTCCCTGTATAGGGTCTGAGAAATAGCTTTGCGCCGGTGGCTCTTTCTCACTTGGTCCCGAGGAGGTAGGTCTGTGACACCTCACCTCTTCAGAGTAGACCAGAGGCCCACCCCACGCTGCCGGGCAATGCCCATTAGCCACTGTTGACCGATCCACAGGTAAGCCATGGGCACAGCCTCAGCATTTCTGCACGGGGCCAGTGGCTCAGTCTCCTGCTTGTGTTCTTTCTCCAGCACTTGTGATCAGACAAACTTCAGAGCCACAGGGGGACACCCCCTGCTCCATCCCTCTTCCCAAGGAGGTGGACACTCTTTAGAATCCCTTGCACGTTGTCAGCTGTGGGCAGTTTCACTCGCCCAGTGTGGAGCGTGCCTCACTGAGGTCTAGGCGCTGGTTATGGCGGACCGCGCCCCGCAGGCTGAGTTGCCTGGATTCCTTGTTTTTGCCCTCTTTCTGGAACTGGTGTGAACTGGAGCTGTGCTAGAAGCCGTGAAGGGCCTCAGATCCAGGTGATGTGTGTATCTCTGAGAGTCCCATTGTAAACGGAGTTTAATGTGCCATAAAAGGTGGTTACTGCCTTGATAGCTT